AGGGGACACAGTGAGGGGACACGGGGGGGCCACAGGGGTGTCAGGGACATGGGGAGGACACCGAGGGGACATCAGGGGGACAGAGGGCACAGGGGACACCACAGGCAGGGTCAAACCCCCCCCCAGCCCAGAAGGGGCGACCAGAGAGAGACCCTGGGGTGACACACAGGGGACAGGGGACAGTGTGGGGGACAGACACAGAGTCCCCAAATCCCCTCGGGGGGGGACACACACCCCCACCCCCCATGGTGGGGACACCCAGCGTCAGGGGCCACCCCTGTGTCACCCCCCAACCCTGGGGACACTCCTTGGGGGGGTGGGGACACCCCCAGACCTGAGGGACATCCCCAGGACCCCCCAGGGGTCACCCCGGACCCTTGGGGACACCCCTGACCCGTTTCTGGGGACCTTGGGGACACCCTGGACCCTTGGGGACACCTCCAGCCCCTACGTGGCACCTTGGGGACACCCCCAAGCCCTTTAGGTGACCCTGGGGACGTTTCCAACCCCTTTGAGGGACCCTTGGTGACACTTCCAGCCCTTTGGGGACACCCCAACCCCTCTCTGGGGACACTGGGGACATCTCCAGCTCTTTCTTAGGTGACCTTGGGGACACCCCCAGATTCTTTGGGTGACCTCGGGGACACCCCCAACCCCTTTAAGGGACCCTGGGGGACACCCCCAACCCCTTGGGGACACCCCCAGATTCCTTGGGTGACCTTGGGGACACCCCCAAGTTGTTTAGGTGACTTCGGGGAGGGGACACCCCCAACCCCGTGGGGACACCCCCAGATTCCTTGGGTGACCTCGGGGACACCCCCAACTCCCTGGGGACGCCCCAAAATTCTTTGGGTGACTTTGGGGGCACCCCCAACCCCTTGGGGACACCCCCAAGTCCTTGGGGTGACCTCGGGGACCCCCCCCCCAAACCCCTCCAGGTGACCTCGGGGACCCCGCTTGGTCACCCGGGCAGGGGTCACCGGGGACCCCCCCTCCCGGGGCAGGGGGAGGGTGACAGGGAGGGGCCACCCCCGTCCTGTCCCCGTGTCCCCCCCCCGGTGTCCCCCCAGCGTCCCCCTAAAACGCCTCCTCTTCCTCCCGGCGCAGAGGAAGAGCCTGGAGCTGGCGCTTGGGAAGAGCCTGCCGGGGCCACCACCGGGGCCACCACCGGGGCCACCACCGGGGCCACCCACGGGGCCACCCACGGGGCCACCGGGGCCACCGGCGGGGCCACCAGCGGGGCCGGTGCCCCTCACCCTCCGCTTTCACCTGCCCAAGGAGAGCGAGGCCGAGCCCCCCCCGCGCCCCACGGTAACCCCCCCCCCCGGTCCCCAAGGGTCACAGGGGTCACCCAGGGTCACCAGGGGTCCCCAAGGGTCACTAGGGGTCTCCAGGGTCACCAAGGGTCCTCAAGGGTCACCAGGGGTCCTCAAGGGTCATCGGGGGTCACCAAGGGTCACCAGGGTCACCAGGGGTCCTCAAGGGTCACCAGGGTCCCCAAGGGTCATTGGGGGTCACCAAGGGTCACCAGGGTCACCAGGGATCCCCAAGGGTCACCAGGGGTCATTAATTGTCCCCAAGGGTCACCAAGGGTTTCCCAACTGTTCCCGAGGGTCACCAGGGGTCCCCAAGAGTGGATACTGGGAGCACTGGGGGAATACTGGGGGGATACTGGGAGCACTGGGATGCACCAGTGTGGACTGGTGTGAACTGGTGTGAACTGGGCTGTCCCCACAGAAGAGAAAGGTCGAGGTGGTGTCACCGGCCACGCCCGTCCCCGCCCCCACCGAGACCTCCCAGGCCTCCGTGTTCCCCCAGGTGAGCCCAGTACGGACCAGTACGGACCAGTATGGCCCAGTATGGACCAGTAACACCAGGGACTGGCTGGTCAAAGCCTTTAGGGGCTCCCCAAACCCTTGGGGTGTTTTTGGGGGTGTCTGGGGGCTTTCGGGGGCAGGGGGGGGG